CTATGTTTTCTTCTAGTAGTTTTAGAGTTTCAGGTTTTACTTTTAAGTCTTTAATCCACGTTGAGTTAATTTTTGTGAATGGTGTAAGATAGAAGTCCAATTTTATTTTTTTTCATGTGGCTATCCAGTTTTTTCCAACACTATTGAAGAGACTTTCTCCAGTGAGTATTCTTGGATCCCTTGTAAAATATTAGTTGATCATATATGTGTGGGTTTATTTCTAGAGTCTTGATTCTGCTCCATTGGTCAATGTTTTGAATTTATGCCAATACCATACTGTTTTGATTACTATAGCTCTGTAATTAAGTTTGAAAGCAGGAATTGTGATGTCTCCAGCTTTGTTCTTCTTTCTCAGGATGGCTTTGGCTATTCAGAGTCTTTTTTGTTTCCATACAAGTTTTAGGATTGTTTTTGTTTTTTTTTATGTTTCTGTGAACAGTGCCATTGGAATTTTGATAGGGATTGCACTGAATCTATAGGTGGTTTTGGGCAGTGTGGACATGTTAAAAATATTAATTCTTCTGATCCATGCACCCAGGATATCTTTCCACTTATTTGTGTCCTCAATTTCTCTCATCAATGTCTTATAATTTGCAATGTATAGATCTTTCATCTCCTTGGTTAAATTTATTCCTAAGTATTGTATTCCTTTTGATGTTATTGTAAATGAGATTGTTTTCTTCTTTTTCAGAAAGTTCTTTGTAGTGTATAGAAATTACATAAGTTAATTTTTGTATGTTGATTTTGTATTCTGCAACTTTACTAAATTTATTAGTTCTAACAGTTTCTTTAAAGGAATCTTTATGGTTTTCTGTATACAAGATCATATCATCTGCAGAGACAATTTTACTTCTTCCTGTATGACTTGGGTGCCTTTTATTTATTTTTTTCTTGCCTAATTGTTCTGGCTAGTATTTTCAGTACTATATTGAATAGGAGTGTTGAGAGTGGCACCTTTGTCTTGTTCCTGATCTTCAGGGGAAAGCTTTTCACGTTTTACCCCTGAATGTGATGTTAGTTGTGGGTTTGTCACATATGGCCTTTATTATGTTGAGGTATTTTCCTTCTATACTCAATGTGTTGGGAGTTTTTATCATAAAAGAATGTTGAATTTTGTCAAATGCTTTTTATGTATTCATTGAGATGATCATATGATTTTTATATTTTATTCTGTTGAAGAGGATACCACATTTATTGATTTTCATGTCTTGAACCATTCTTGCACCCCAGAGATAAATCTCACTTGATCATGGTATATGATGCTTTTAATGCACTGTTTGCTAGCATTTTGTTACAAATGTTTGCATCTATAATCATCAGGGATATTGGCCTATAGTTTTCTTTACTTGTAGTGTCCTTGTCTCACTTTGGTATCAGGGTAATGCTTACCTCATAAAATGAGTTTGGAAGTGTTCCTTCCTCTTCAGTTTTTTGGAAGAGTTTGAGAAGAATTGGAGTTAATTCTTTTTTAAATCTTTGGTAGAATTCACCAGGCAAACCATTTGATTCTGGACTTTTCTTTATTGGGAGGGTTTTGATTACTGACTGGTTCAATCTCCATAGTTGTTATTGATCCATTCAAATTCTTAGTCTAATTTTATCCTCTGTCATCTCTACTCTACTATTGAGCCCAATCAGCAAATTTTATATTTAAGTTATTGTATTTTTCAGTTCTATAATTTCTGTTTGGTTTTTTTAAAAAATAACTTCTATTTCTTTAATGAGATTTTAAAAATTATTTCAAGAGAATTAATAATTTCTTGTTAAAGCATTTTAATGATGGTTGCTTTAAAAATGTTTATCAGATAATTCCAACATCTGATTCATCTCAGTGTTGGTGTATATTAATTGTCTTTTCTTATTAAAGTTGTAATTTCTCTATTTCTTGCTATGGGAAAAAAATTTTTTTTTATTGTACCCTGAACATTTTGAATATTATTTTATTTAATCTTCTTCTTCTCCTTCTCCTTTTCCTTCTTCTTCTTCTTAGCAAGCAGTCCCTCTGTTGAAGTATAGTGCAAGGGGCAGGTGGATGTTTACGTTTACCCCATGCCAGGCCCTGTCAATACCACCTTACCATAAGTGACTGCTGACTCACACTGTCTCTTTGCAGGGTTGTGGGGTGAAAGTTCAATTCCCTGCTGGGTCTTTCTGATACCTTGGGTCTTGCTGATACATTTGAGCAAAAGTGGGACATGAATAGTCTCTGCCTCCTTCGAGCAGGGGTGTGAGCTCTGCTCCTTGCTGGGTCCCCCTGCCACTGGTAGAGGCAGAAAGTTAAGTGGCTAACCCTACCTCACACTCTCTCATTCTATCTCATTGAGGCCGATGTGGGTGGAGGCTGAGTTCCACATTGGGACTCCACTGATACCAAGAGGTGGGAGGACCAGAGTACCTGCTAGTTCTGCTTTATGCCATCTTGGTTAGGCTCTTTACTGCAGGGGGATTGAGGAAGTTGAGTTCCCCACTAGGCCCCGATGATGTCAGGCATGGGGGTGGGAGGGGGGAAGGAGCACTTGTTAGCCCTGATCTGCGTTATTTTGTTCGGTGTCAGTGCTGGGTAGGGGTGGAGGCTCGGCTCTCTGCTGGACCCTGCTGAGCCCGGCAGGGGACTGGAGCACTGCTTGCATCCTCCACGCAGGGTATGGTAGGCCAGGACCCTGCTTAGCCCCCCTCAAGCACACCCAGTGGGGAAATGGAGCATAGCCTGCTTCTGCTGGGTGGGGGATGGAGGATTAGTATGCTACTGGGCCCAGGGGACACTGTCATCCTTGGGCAGAGGACTTGGAGGAACACCGCTGCCCACTTCCATGGGAGTGGGGCTGGGTAGGGGTGGGAGAGAGCTCCCTTTCTGCCCTGCTGAAACTGTGTGTGTGAGGGGAAGTGGGGGTGATTCTGTTCGTTTTGGTAGGTATTGCTACAAAGACCATCTGTGGTCAGGCCACCCTTTTCTTAGGCTTTTGGCTAAGATGAGTGGCTTTCGTTGGGGTTGTTTTTGTTTTTAATCTGTGCCTATTAGCAGTTGTGGGTTGGAGGGTTCTCTAGCACCATGTCCAGGATACATGGGAGGGAATGAGGGTACACATGTCATTCCTCAAGTCCCAAGGGTCTTAGGCAGTCTACCTCCCCCACCTTGCAGAGTCTTCCTATGCTTTGCTGTGTTACGAAAAGGGTTTTTCAGCTGTAAAAGGGAGGACCTGGGAGAAATGAGGCTACTCCATCTTGGCTGCAACCAGAAGCCATAATTCATAATCTTTTAATACTTAAAGAAAGGGACATTGGAGATCATCTACAGAATTTACAGTCTCTAGATAAGAGACATGTGGACTGGAGGGGAAGGGCTGCTCTGAGCTTACACAGCTGTTTTCCAAAGTTGCTCAGCAGCAGGGAACATTTGGCACAGAGGCACCTGAAGGAATTTTGGAGGCAACATCTACAAGCCTTCCTTATCCCTTCTCCTGCACCCAGGGACATCAAGTTCTCTGATACCTGTTTGTTAGGCTGTGCCGACTCCTTCCAGGAACCCTGAAGCTCCCTGCCCCTTCACCTTCTAATCAAACACAGAACCCTCCCTGTCTGCCGGGGGACCCTGAGAATAATGAGATCATCCATTCTGGCCTGCTCATATTCCAGATACCTCAGTCGCCCCTTCAGATGTGAGCCCTTTACTTGCCTCAGTGGTCTTTTTCAGGTTAACTAAAGCTTTTTTTTTTTTTGCCTGGAATGCCTGGGAGTCATGTCTCCTCGGTGAAACCATCGCCAGTGACTGACTGGCGTGGAAGTGTGAAGCCCAGCTCCCTTGCCCACAGGATCAGGCTGGAGCTGGGTCTGAGTTTATTCCTCTTCCTGTCCAACTTCCCTGCATCTCTTTCCAGTTTCTCCTAGGAGTACTGCCTTAATAAGTCACGTGTACAAGAAAAACAACCAAGCAAGCCCACTAGGTGGTCCATCTTCCTTGTCCCAGGCTGTTCTGTGCTTCCTCTCCCTGCGAACCTCCGAAGCACACCCCCCCTCCTCCCAACCCCTCCAGGTGCATTCCCAAACTGGTGATCCTTGCCTAGCAAAGCCGTCTACACCGCTGGTGCCTAGCTCTAGCTGCACAGGAGAATCTCCAGGGGGACTTTTCAAAAGTGCAGATGCTTGGGCTCCTACTGCCCGGAGATGCCCAGTGGGGTCAGACAGAGCCTGGACAGCCGCACTTTCTACATGTCCTCCAAGGCAATGCTCATGTGCAGCCAGGGTCCAGACCACTCCTTGTTTTGCTGCAAACTGGGATTACCTGGGGATGTTTAAAAAATATTTTGGATACACTGGTAAGTGAAACAAAACACAATAGAACAATCACATATACAGTATAATTATTATGAACAATTGGAACAATAGGCACCAATAGAAGTGGGATCCTTTCTCTCTTCTGTCAGTTCTTTTCTATATATTTCAAAATTTCTTCAGTGAGAAGGTACACACACACATACATGCATGCACGTCCATATGAACAAATTGAAGTTTATTTTACATATCATAAAATTCACCCATTTCACATGTACAAATTTTTAATAAGTTCACTCAGTGGTGTAACAAAAAGGCACCCAGCCCTGGTTTGTAGCATTTCGCCAATTACCCTGGTGTAAGTAATCCAACCATGTCCCGTTTCCAAGTACCCCTGTTATGTGGTTTATCATGGAGTTCGGAAGAGATCACACAAGTGGGTCTTATGAATGCTATGAGCTGGCTGCAGCAAATCTATTTAAGTAACGCCCTAGGGCTTTTTGTTGTTTGTTTGCTTCTTGTTTGTCCTCCCCCACCTTACCTCCCTTTACCTTCAATATACAAAAGGTGTCCCAAACAGCAGGAAGTCACAGTCTATTTTATTCACTGCTATAAATGAATGCCGGCCCTACAGGGAGTGTCCAGTGGCCACATAATGAGCAGAGCTGTGGACAACATCCTTGCAGCCTTTCTGTGGTCACATTTAGTAATGCCACGATATCTGCTTTCAGGACAACTCCCAGCCTGACTTCCTGGTGAAAATAAAGAAAACCAAGTGTTGACAAAACGGAAGTACAAAGCTGCTTGAACTTCTGCAATTTTGCCGACACATATTCAAAATTTAAGTTACGGGGGTAACTCCTTTTTCTTTTCTCCTTCTCAGGAACCAAATACCGATTTAAGCAAATGCTGCAGTGCTAACCAGTTGTCCTGACAGACACACGATGGTGTCAAGTGTGAAGGGCCACAATGTGTCAGCTTCCTGGAGGTGTCTTAGGCATCAGAGCAGTGCAAGAAAATCACTGAGGTGTGACACTGTTTCAAAGAAAAGGCACCAAACCTTCCTTTTCAGGAAAACTTTGTAAGAAGTGTAAATAAAGTAAGGGGGCCACTCTAAGACAGATGGTTTGCATAGATAGCAGCTCTGTGGAAATGCGCACAGTTTTAGCCACCTTTTACAAGGTGGAAAGAGGCAGAGGCCTGGGCTAGCTGGGGAGAGCAGGCAGAAGAGGTTCAGGGGAGAGTGTGCCCTGAGTAGTGGGGGGACGAGAGGGTTCTGAGTTACGACCACAACCGACAAGGCCTTTATCCCAAGGCTTTATAACTCCCGTTGTTTTAACGATGCTTTTCTGTTACTAGGAAAGGTGAAGTTCAGCGACATGTTACCCAGGGTCTCCTGGCATATACTTGCCTCTCATATAAAGCCTGTGCTCAGAGTGTACACAGCGAGTCACTTAATTTGAGTTTGTGGTGGCCTCCGGCTCTAGCCCATCTCCCGGCTCATCACCCCCACCCCCCCTGCCTCCCCTCCAGCAACCTGGCTCCCCTGCACACTATGGAAATCCTACAGAACATTCTGTGGTTCCCAGGTGGTGTCATGCTTCTGGGTCTCTATTCACGCCACTCTCTCATCCTGGAATGCTCATCCCAATTTGTTCTTTTAAGAAACAACTGCTCCCCCTTTTACCTTGTTGCATCCGAGAGAACAAGATGGGTCACCAGCAGCTCTACTGGAGGCGTCCAAGAAAATTCGGCCAGGGTTCTCGTTCTTGCCGCGTCTGCTCAAACCGGCACGGTCTGATCCGGAAATACGGCCTCAGTATGTGTCGCCAGTGTTTCCATCAGTACGCGAAGGATGTAGGCTTCGTTAAGTTGGACTGAGTGAACTTCCATGAATGAATCACGCAAGCTATCTACTGCAGAAACAATGTCAGCTCTTTGTACATAAAATAAAGACTTCAGTTATGAGTGTTTTAATGTGAAAAAAAAAGAAACAACTACTCCTCTTTTTCTTTTCTCTCTCTCTTCTCAACTTCCCCCACTCCCCCTCCCTTCCAGCTCCTTCATTTCTTTCTTTTCACAAAGAATAGTTTGTCTTATGATACGCTCATTTAAAAAATGAATAGCAATGAAAGAGTGTACAGAAGAAAATATACACCCTTCGTGGTGGTTTTGTCCAGTGCCCGTCTTGTGAAACTGGGCTGACAGTTCCCAGAACCCCTTTCCTGTAGGGGTCCAGGCGAGTGTCCTCCAGGAGAGAGAATTAGCGTGTGGTTTGCAAGAGTAAAGCAACAGCTGCAATGTTGTGCCCTGAAGGTGCAAGCAGGTGCCAGGCCCTGTGGGGGCCTGTGCGCTATTATCCATCTGCTGGCCCCCACAGCAGCTGCAGAGCCCTCTGCTTCCTGGCTGCTCCCAAGTCCTGGGCCAGGTGCCCAGTGCAGCTTCTGCAGGCCTCTCTCCACACACTCGGTCCTCAGGAGGTCTAATTTGCCATGTAGGTTGCTGTTTGTACTCACAGGTTACATTTTGTCCTTGCTGTTGTCCATATCTAGCTTTCCTTCCTGACCATCTGGGAGACTGACATATAGAGATGTCCCACTCAACATTAGAAGCCAGGTAACAACCTGCATGGACTCACCCGCCAGCTCCAATTGCATACAATCCAGTTCCTAAGCAAATCCCGATTTTAGAGGAGGCTGACTTTCTCAGTTCCTGGCACCCTAATGCCTCCTTACTTTTTCCCTGAAGCCAAAAGAAATGCAAAACTGTTCCACTTAGTAAGTGGTTACATCCAAACAACTTAAGTATTTTTGTTTATAGCTGTTTGAAAGTACATGTAAATTGAAAGAAAAATAACATCTGATTTTATTTTTAAATAATCAGTACCAGTGGGGTACGTACACCTGTTGGGCATGGCCCCATTCTCCAATCTTGGAATCTGTTGGACCCTGTCACCCTCAGCTCCTGTTCCACATTGCTTTTATCTCAAACCATCAGAAACCCGGCTTTGCGAGGATATGAAAACCTTGAAAGGAATGCAGTCTAATATTGAAACTGTGAACTATCTTAAATGTGTAGTTCTCAGGATGTCCAAGAAACATAAGGTATCAATGTTCACCCTTGAAAACTGGAACTATTTCATGGCTCTCCTGTGAATTTACTGTGACCCCAGGGGTGCCTCAACACACAGTTTGGGAACCCTAGCCTTGTCTCATGTCATTTCTCTGATCAAACCCTGACTGATACACACATAATCCCAAAGAAATTTGGCATATATTCTCTTCCCTTCCCGACTTTGGACTCTGCCTACATATTATGAAGTATGAACCAGAAGAGTTCTATATTTTTATTTTTATGTTAATTTAACATTAGCTATACAAGAGATGATCATGCTAAATGAAATAAGTCAGACAGAAAAAGTCAAGAACCATATGATTTCATATGATATGTGGGATATAAAACTGAGAGCAACAAATGAACAAGACAGACAAAGAAAGAAAAACTCACAGACACAGAGAACAGTTTAGTGGTTACCAGAGGTTAAGTGGGAGAAGGGAGAAGAGGGTAAGGGGGTTGAATATATAAGGAGGTTTGACTTTGGGTGGGGAACACACAATGCAATACTCAGATGTGTATTCTAGAATTGTACACTTAAAACCTATATAATTTTATTAACCAATGTCACCCCAATAAATTTAGCTAAAAAATATGTAATCAATGGCCAAAAAGACAATACAAGCATATTCGCAAGTCAATAAAATTCTTTTAAAAATCACTCATGTTTGTAGCATATGTCATATTTACCATTATTTATTTAACCCTTCCCCAGTTATTGAACTTTCTAGGTGTATTCCATGTGCTATTCTGCCCACTTCTCTGTAAGGATGAAATGGAGAAACAGTAAGAACGACAGTCACAAGGAGCTGGGGTGTGAGTCCATCCACACAGGAGCAGGGAAGTAGGTGAGTGGAGGAAGGCAGTCGGGAAGGGCAGGGTGTCCTGAGTGACCAAGGAGGAGCACGAGCAGAAGGAGTCAGGTCTCCTATCTGATAGAGTTGGAGAAAGGTCATCCCACTTTCTTTGATTTATTTCATTTAATCCTGAGAACAGCCTCATGGGGATAGATACTAGTCTTATCCTCACTTTATAAGAAAGTAGTTGGTGGCTCAGAGAATCATTCATTCAAACAGCATTTACTGAGTATTTCCTCTGTGTCAACCTTTACTGAGGTGACGCAAAACATGTAAAGCGCCATTGAACGTACACGTGCGCACGTTTAGAAAACAACGCTGGAAGGACATGCCCTATAATACTAATATGCTAAGAGAGGCTATATCTGAGCAGTGGCATTGCAAGTGCTTCCACTTTCTTCTTTGGGCTTTTTACAAGTTTCCAAGCTGTCTACAATGAACACGTATCGCCTTCATAGCAAGAAAATAAAAGTATTATTTCAAAAATGGAACCGGAAGACATGGTGAAACATTGCTCATTATGAAGTTGTTGTGGATCAAATTTTGTTTTTTGATGCAGTTCTGTTTTACCAAATAGTGGACGAATGTTTCTTAATTCCATTTAACCTCTTTCTCCCCGCACTGTAGAGAGGGCTGGCAAGTTTACCGTTGGAGAGCTCACATTCACCTTGACTTCCAAGGCCAACGTTTGTCCACATTTTCCATGTGGAGACATAAGCCCAAAGCAGTGTGACCTCCTCTTCCCCAGATGAAAGTTTTCTAAACCTTCATGATACTGGCTTCTTTGTACAAAGACAACATGCAAACGTAGCAGGTCTCTGCCTGAAAGGGAGGGTAGCTTGGTAAAAAGCACAGCTCTAGTGTCCAAATAGAGAGAGGCCAGCCCAATGGTCAGCCATTGTGTTGTAAGGTGGGACACCCATCCCCTTAGGATACTTTCTGATTGATGCATTCCTTCTTCCCCTGGGCTGCCCTGGAACTATGGCTCCTTGGCAGCCCCACGTATCTCGCGCAGGCTCTGCTGGCATCCCTGTGTCTGTCCATCTCACTGAGCAGATGATTCTTTGAGAACAGAACTCCCTCCTGCACCCCTGTCTCCCAGGGCTTGCTTTGAATGGAGCAGGTCCTCAGTCACCATGCTGGCTTTTATTGATATGTGTAAACAACAATGGGGAAATGGGTGGAGTAACCCAGAGTGCGTCTCAGCCATGGAAATCAGTACAGGCACTGATGCTTTAAATGATTTATTGACTTGGAAAGTGATCAAAACATACTACAACTTAAAAACGACAACAGGGGAGCAAGTAGAGGTCCATCTTTGATACAATCATAAATACTCACAAGAGAAAAAAATAACTAAAAGAAAATACATCAAAAATATACAGTGGTTGTCTTTGGGGAGTGAGATGATGAACAATTTTGATTTTTTTTGTGTGTTTTTTTTAAATTTCCCTTTGTGTTTTTAAGCTTTTTTTAGAAATAATTTTTGTTATTGGGGAAATGATTTTCAAGGAAATGTTAAGTCTGAGGAAAAAGAGAACAAAGACATGATAAATAGGAGGTCCTTGGTGAGAGATAATGTGTTAGAGACATTTTGGGTAAATAAGTTTCTTTCAGTCAAGGGTCCTCTCAACCTCCTACATCAAGAGACCATCCCCACCCCATCCCGGCTGACAGACATTTTCCTCTCCCCCAGCCTCAAACACCATCAGCTTTCACAGCAAGTCATTTTCCTGATGACGGGTCCAAGGCGGTAGCCAAAGCTCTGATCCATAAAACCAGAGGGCTTGGACGGAGAACCAGAGGAAGAAATTAACCGTGTCCTTTGGACTGTTAGTAATTTCTGCAATAAAGCTGTCAGGATTTACTACCATATCACCCAGCTGACAGACAAGGGACGTTCTACAAATATTCAGAAAAAAAAGGCACGGTAATGGAAACAATGACTCCCTCCCCTCGATGGCTGTTTCAAGAAGTTCAACGTATTTACACATGGTCAATGTCAAGCCTACTGTCTGAATTGTTTGATTTTAGTGAATATGAACATTTTCTCTAAGGGAAGTTCCACTGCTAACAGCAGTTCCCCAGTCCTATTTCCCATGAGGTCTCAAGTTCTTCCATCATGAGTTCTATGTCCTTAGGGTTTCCAAGAGCCTAGAACCCACAGCGGGGCTGCGGTGGGTGGGTGGAGGCAGCTGCTGCCTCCTGATTGGCTCTGGGCTGGAAGTGAAGTCAACTGTGGAACCCACTATTTCCAAGTTCATTGGTGGTGAGGGTAGAGATGGGGGATGTTCAGCGGTTTTGCTTACAAATGTTAATGTTCACAAACCCGAAACCCTGTTTGGGCCCAAGCCCTTCACTGGCACCCTTTGTCCCAGTCTTCTGGAATGTCCCAGTTCACTCATACATCTCCAGGGAGAAGTTCATAGGATAGACTGAAGCCCCAGAGGTGACTTAGTCTAGACCACCTTTAAGCTGCCTCAGTCCCGTGGGGCATCATTCCACGCTGTGTCAGTGGTCAGCATCTGGCCGGCAGAGCCAAGTTGCCTCGTCTCCAGCCAGTGCCCTGGCAGGTCACCCTTGCTGGATCCTAAATCAGAACCCAGATCCAGAGGCCTGAGTCAGAATCCATTGGAGAGTTCATGCATCCCTGTGGAGGGGGACATGGAGCTCTCCCTCTCCATCCTCTCTTTCGGGAGGAAGGGGAGCCATGTAACGAGGCGCAACTGGCGTAGGTACTTGCGGAACCTCTCGCCGACAAAGACGTAGATGATCGGGTTCACACAGCAGTGTGTGTAAGCGATCACCTCCGTCACTTGAATGGCCACGTCCAGCTGTTTGCTCTGCTCACACTCCTTGGTAAAAAAGACATCTTGGAAAGCAGAAACAAACATAGTCAGATTGTAAGGGGTCCAAAAGAGAAAGAAGATGATCATGATGACAAAAATCAGACGGACGGCTTTGGCCTTCTGCTCATTTGGCCGTCTGAGCAAAATCCTTATAATCCCTGTGTAGCACACGATCATGACCACCAGAGGCAACACCATCCCCAAGATGTTCAGTTTCAGAGCCTGGAACTGCTTCCACTGTCTGAAGCTTGTGTGAGGGAAATGAAGACTGCAGGTGACTTGCTTGATCTCCAACTGGGTCTTGGAAAAATGAAAACCTGGGATGGCAGTGAAAATGGCCAGGCCCCAGGTGAAGATGCTGGAGATGATCCCAATGGTGACAGTCCGGGCCCGCAGGGCAAACACAGCGTGGACAATGGCCAGGTACCTGTCGATGGTCAGCAGGATGATGAAAAAGATCTCGCTGTACAAACCTATGTAATACAGCCCCGAGAGCAACTTACACAGGCTGTCACCGAATATCCAGTTGTTCCTCAGATTGTAGTCGATCCAGAAGGGCAGCGTGAAGAGGAAGATCAGGTCCGAGATGGCCAGGTTGAGGAGGTAGACGCTGGTCATGCTCTTGAGCCTCTTCTTTTGCACAAGGACCAGGACCACCAGGATGTTGCCGACCAGGCCAATGATAAATACCAGGGAATACAACGGGGGCAACAGATTAGCCCCAAAAGCCCTCTGCTCTCCTTTCTCACATGGGGCTGTGTCGAACCCGTAGTAATCTTCTGTGGTCCCATAGTGCTCTGAGGTGGTTGAAAGTTCCATCCTGGCTTCTCCCATGGTCAAGGAAAATGGTTTCTGTATTTACTTTGCTGTTAAAGGCGGTGCACTCTGGACAACAAAGACAAGGCAGTGATTATACGTCTTCAACAACTTGACAGCTGTTTACTGAGTGCCTACTGTGTACCATGCCCGGGACCCAGTGTTGAGCAAGGAGGAACTGAAGTCCTCTCCGCCCCCGTGGAAACTGTAGTCTAACAGTAGGTGTGGGCAATCAGCCAATGAGTGCGCACATCATGAATTTAGTTACTTTGGCAACGAGCGCAGTGGAGGAGAAGTCCAGTGGATGGAGAGCCCAGACACGGGGACACCTCACCACACTCTCCATAACCAATACCTCCTTCCCTCATGCTTCTTATGGACTTGGCATTGGATTTGGTGTTCAACAACCCTTTAGGGGTCCCACTATTTCTCCCCAGTTTAGAGGTGATGACACAGAAGTTTGGAGTGGTTAGGACACATATCTGGTGATAATGAGAGCTGGAGCTCAAGCCCGGGTGTGTATTACTCTTGTGCCCATTCCTGAAACTGCTCAGCTTCCCTGCCTCCAATCACAGAGCAGTGACATTGCACCTTGGAGTCTGCAGAAGGACGTGTGAAAAAAGACAGTCCTGGCTGAGAGTAAAAAACTAACCAGTGGATCTTCATGGCTTCTGGGGATAAAAAGGTTCTCAGCCAGGGGTATCATAGGGCACTGGGAGCATGTGAAAATGTGTGGGCATTTTTTCTTTTTTGGTTGTCACAAAGACTAGAGGATGCTACTGTCATTTGGTAGGCAGAAGCAAGGATGTCCTACAGGGCAAAAATGGTCCCACCCCAAACACCAGCAGTGCTGCCATAGTGAGATTCTGGGAGGTCAACCCCATTCCTTAGAGGGCACTGAGGACCCCAAAGAGGGCTCAGCCTGGCCCACATCACACGGCCCTGATGTGGCACAGGTAGGTCTACAGGTAACTGTGTAGGCTGCCTGTGAGCCGTGAGGATTCAGAGGAAAGCACAGGCTGGGCGGAGTGGGTGACATGGTGAGCAGAAGATGGAGGTCTGAGCTCAGAACAGCGTCAAGCCATGAGGTGCTGCACAGTCACCAGGTAGAAGCTGGGATTCTGCTGAAATAACCTCTCAAACATTTTTACCCAAGGTTGCCGTTACATAAACAAAAACAAATACACACCAAAAAGAACCACTAGATAACTTGCTTTTGCAGTACTTCCCCCAGCCCCTGCTTTTTAGCTCTTTTTTCAGTCCTTTCTGATAGCTTATTGAAGACGCCTCCCCAAAGGGAGCATGGGCTTTGGTGTAACCTACCAGCTGTGTGATCTTGGAGAAGTTAATCTACCTCTCTGAGCCTCAGTTCCTCATCTGTAACATGGAAAAGTAACACTTACCTTGCAGGGCTACTGTAAGGCAATGTATGAGAAAGGCCGCCCTCTTACTGGGTCCTCAGTAAATATTAGGGGACCTCCTTCCCTGTAGACACCCTTCCCTGAAGCCTGTCACCACCAGGAATGTCCCAGGCTCCGCTCTTATTCTGGCTGAGGTACCCTGCCCCCAAGGCCCCCCACCAGGTCTCTCTGTAGTTAATCTAGATTCTAGAAAGTGAATTCTGCCTGACAATGATGAAAAAGACGGTCCCAACCATGTGAACTGCACATTCAAATTTTCAATATGTTGCCACCAATCTGAAGTGATTTGACCTCAAGACCAATCAATAAAGTAGGTGGTACCTTTATCATAATTCCCACCTTCAATCTGGAGTCTCTAGTGCTCTTCCTTCTACACTGCTTAATGAACAGAAATTCACACTTCTGCAGCGGCCATTGGAAATTAAGGCACTTGGGGTGGGGGTGTTAACGGGCACCCGGGCTAGGGACTGTTACTTCCTGCCAAGTCCATCCCTGGAGTTTACTTCTCCATCTCTGGACTTGCCTCTGCCTGATCCACCCTGTTCCTTGAGAAACCCAGGTGGGCAGTCACTAAGGAGGCCATGGCAGCTTCTGATTACCACGGCCGCTGTCAGTGCTGGCAGCTCAGCTGGGTCCTCAGCACTCTGACGTGGCCCAGCAGGTTACAGTGAGAGCAATGAGCAGCTTGAGCACAAGGAGCAACTGGTGCAAGACTGAGCCCATAAGCCCAGTTGCAGGGGGAATTCTGGCAAAGGTGAAGGCACATCGGGTCAGCCTGTCAGGTGCCATTTGAACAGAGAGTCGCCTCCACACCCCTAACTTCCAACTCCGTTCACTGTTACACGCAATAACTTCAGGGCACGCTGCTCCCAAAGGGAGATGGGCTGGGGCGGGGCCTTGGAGGAGAAACCAAAGGATCACGTTGGCCTGCTGTCTGCTGCAAAAGTCTTCCCCAAGGTCTTCCAGCTCTGGCCTGGAGCCTGGAACTTTCCAGCGCCAGCATCCTCTAGCCTGGGAATTGGTGAAGTCTTTGAGCAGAGAAAGGGCAGTCCGTGACGGTAAAGACACCCAGGGTTGGTGGTGTGCAGGAGGTGGCTTGTGCTGGTTTACATGAATCAATTGTGTGCCTCTCTTCCCAACTCTGCATTCAGCATGTTGGTAGCTTGAAATCAACCATGGTGGGAATATTTATATGCAGAAATTGGCAAAGACTAGAAATCAGGGCTTTTTTTTAGGAGAGCCCATTATGAAATATTTACCAGCACATCAATGTCCCCCAGTCTGAACAGCCCGAGAGCTGTCCTGCTAATCAGAGTGGGGACTAAAGCATCATTGGGTGCCACACAGGCTAGTGGCAGGCTGTGCAAACTTCTGGGGGTTTCTAACTCTGAAAATCTGAGACCCTCTCAGTTTTATGGAGGAACAGTTAAAGCAGATGCTTCCAAGTAGCCCCCATGCCCCTCTATCTTCAGAACAAAATTCTTCTGCCTCTTTACTAGTAGAACAGAATGGTCATCGGGCCAGCTCTCTGCCTTCAGACGGGTGGAATTCTACCTCCTCCAAACGCAGTCCGCAGTCTGATTTTGAAATCTAGTCTTCTTAAGAAATTGATTCAGTATCAAATCATCCTTCCATCTGCAAAAAGTTTTTCTAATTCATATTTGCCTCTTGCCACAATGACTTCATACGCCATGTACGGTTTTCATTTACATGGGGAAAATTTGGCAAGTATATCCTCTTGAATAGCTTTCCACTGAGATTGTTCCTCAGTACTGGGCTGACTTTCTAAATCAGTCACCAACAACCGATCGTTCAAGATAGCTTCCTTTTTTTAAGCAAAAATAAAAACCTATTTTACATTTTATAAATCCACCCATTCTCAGTATTGCCACACAGTTCATTGCTTTATAGATGCATCAAAGAGCTACTTAGACATCTGCCTGGCTCATGAAGAATCCCTCCACCTTTGAGGAGATAGACAGGTAAAAACCAATAATCTGCAATGTGAGATGCACGTCTAGCTGCATGCATGCATTCAAACAAGAGTGCCTTCCACAGAAACTGACAAGACAGAAAAGACAAGTAAGTGCCACTTACTGTGGTTTCAAGGGACTTTGTCCACGAAGTCTCTGTTTCTAGAGCTCTTAGAGTCTTTATGAATTCAAGGTTCAAGGTCCCGAAAGAGTAGGAAGTACTCAGTTTCCTGTGTAATGATGGAGATAGGACTCCGGGGTTCTCAGTCATTCAGAATGACAAGAAGGGGACAGAGTCCTTTATGAAAGATCAGGTGTCCATGAAAGGCCACAACGCCCACCACTGGTCATTTCCTAGTGGCTGAGTGTAAGGATTTTCTCTGGTCACTCGACTGCACTTCTCCTTGGCGAGCTCTGTCTTAGGGGATTGGGTAAGGTCGGGTTGGGTGGAGTTGAGTGGGGTGAGGTGGGTGGCAATTAAGTGTTCCCAGAACTTGTAGGGCAACTGAAGTCTGGAATGGGGGCAGGGGTGGGGACAGGACACAGAGTTCTTGTGGTCAGTAAGTAGCTTCTTTTCTTCTCTTTTTTTCTTTTCTTTTCTTTCCTTTTTTCTTTTCTTTTCAAGATTGCAAGTGGAAGGATTTAAACCGGAACCCTGGGTCCTCTGTTCCTCAAAATGAGCTGGCTGGTAAGCCAGAGAGAAGCAGAAGCTCCTCTTTGGCGCCCCCTATGTCCTCCACTTCTGACTGCCTGGGCTTCTGTTTTATGCAATGATCCAACCACCGGCCTAGTTCAAATCCCAGTTCTCCACATAAGACATGGGCAGGTAATTACGACTTTTTAAGTCTTGGTTCCCCCTCCATGAAAAGAGAACACTGAATGCTGAGGCTCACAGGAGGACGCGTGAGGTCAGCGTGTATGTGAAAAATGCCCAGTGCGCCTGGCACAAGGACAAATGTCTGGTAAATGATGGTTATTATGATTCTCCCCACAGCTACCCGTATCTGCTCTGTGCTTGTGACCCTCTCAGTTCACATCTTTTCTGCGAAATGGGGACTCTGCTGACCTTCCTCACAGCTTTGCAGCAACGCACCATTTCAGAAATCACACACATGAATGTGCTTTGAAAAATGTCCCATGTCCCTTCAAGGCTCATTTCCTCATCTGTAACATGAAGACTTTGGACAAGGGACCTCATGTCCTCTTCATTGGAACAGCTCACGAGTCTTCTGGGTTGGGCTCCCCTTTTTGGCAGCCTGTCCACAGAGAGATAGATGTTGGAAGAAGGAGGCAAAAGGCAACCCAATTGACAAAGACAGCTGTAGGCCTAGGGATTTGGCGCTTTTGTACAGTGAGAAGGGCGTGAGGGGATCATCAGTGATGACCTCTCAAATCAGACATTTAAATCCTAGGTCTACATTTTACTGACTTTGGGAATGTTATTTAAGCCCTCGAGTGTCTCTTTCCTCTTCAGTAAAACAAGGTTAATACTGGTGACTTTACAGAGAGGAATACACACACACACACACACACACACACACACACACACACACACACAAACCGAGGGTGCCAAAAAAATGCATACAAGTGAACACTTTGGTCAACGTTTCTCAAGCAGTAGTTTGCCAAAATCAGAAGTGTCTGGACGCTGATGGTAACCACTTTGAGCAACTCTTGTAATTGCAGAAGTCAAACGTGACTTGTATTCATCTTTTGTTATTGGTATATATTATTACAATTTTAATAGTTTTTTCCTTTCTTAAAATGTGTACACCTCTTTTTGGCACCATCTGTATATCTATCTATCCTAGGAAAAGTGCTACATACCTCACTGCTGAATATCACTATGGTCACCTTTGAAGTACTCCCCTTGGGAAGCTGTGCACTGACACCAGCACCTAGTCCACACTTCAAAGCAATTTGGAACTCTTTTTCTGGAATGGCCATCAGAGCTGTTGTCGTATTACCCTTGATGTCTTGAATGTCATCCAAATGTCTTCCTTTCAATATTTCCTTTATCTTTGGGTAAAGAAAGAAGTCATTGAGGGCCAGATCAAGTGAGTAAGGAGGGTGTTCCAATACAGTTAGTTTATTGGCTAAAAGCTCCCTCAAAGACAGTGTCGTGTGAGCTGGTGCATTGTCATGATACAAGAGCCATGAATTATTGGTGAAAAGTTCAGGTTGTCTAAGTTTTTCATGCAGCCTTTTCAGCACTTCCAAGTAGTAAACTTGGTGAACTGTTTGTCCAGTTGGTACACATTCATATCAAAAAAGGTTAGTAACATTGTTTTGACTCTTGATTTGGACTGATGGAACTCTTTTTATCGTGGAGAATTGGCTCACTTCCACTGTGCACTTCGACACTTTGTTTCATGGTCATATTGGTACACCCATGTTTCATCACCAGTGACAACATAGCCCAAAACATTGTCTTGCCTCTCCAAAAGGTCTTGGCAAACTTTGATTCTCCTTTGCTTTTGTTCTTTGGTGAGGTCCTTTGGGACAATGTTTACACACACCTTTCTTATGCCAAGATTTTCAGTTAAGATTTTTCTGTTTCTCTATCGATGTTTACTTGGTCTGCTATGCTTCTGACAATCAGCCGATGATTTTGACACAGAATTCCACAAATTTTTTCAATGTTTTCATCATTTCTGCTCGTTACTGGCTGCCCCGAACGCTCTTCATCAGTGATGTGTTCTCTCCCCTCAGAAAAATATTTAATCCATTTGTACACTGCCATTTTCTTCATGGCATTATCCCCATAAACTTGGACTACTATGTCCCTGATTTCACTTCTACTCTTGCCAAGTTTAACAAGAAATTTAATGTTTGTTCATTGCTCTAATTCAAGCTCAGACATTCTCATGATGGCACATAAAAAACACGCAACAATAATGAACGCCACTCAGCAAGACACTGCCACATGTCAACAGCAACACAGCTATGAGACACTGATATACCAAGGTTATGAAACCTTACCAAGCTGTTTGTACAGTGCTGCCAATGTAAGCCCACGGTGGCAAGTTCACAAACTGAATTGTCAGACCTTGTATGTGTGTGTGTGTGTGTGTGTGTGTGTGTGTGTGTGTACGAATGAATGCCTTGGTGTAGTGTTTAAGCATTCAAGTTGCCTGTCTTAATTTGGGGCCTCCCCCCCTAGGTTGCAAACCCTGCAACATGGATGCAGGTGCCAGTAGTATATTTTCAGGGGACCCCAGGAAACAATGCAGGGGTGGGGGGAAGTGGGACATGAAAATAAAGGAGCCGGGAACTTGCTCATGATGCAAATTCTGGGGTCCCGTTTCCCAGACCTACTGAATCAGAAATTCCGGTTTTAACATGCCCTTCCCGTGATTCTGATTACACACCCAGATTTGGGAGCCATGGATCTAGATGTTTGCTGGGCCTTTGGCCCAAAGTCCTATGTAATCTCTCTCCAGGAGGGCTGGGCTGGACCAGATATGAGCTGGGAAGAGTTCTTTTGCTTCTAGTTTGAGTCCTACACAAGAAGGCTGCTCAATGGCCTCTTCTGTCTCCTCTTCCTGATACCCAAAGCCAGGTCCCCTATGGCGTTTCAAAGGTGGGGGCAAACCTCTTAATGTGTATGTATTCACACACACACACAAACACACACACACACACACACACACACACAGGCTTTTATTTTTTTTTTAACACAGGTGGGCCATATGATACACATTGTTTTCCATCCGGCTTTTATCACCGCACATCAACCCAGAAGATTTTCTCCACCAGCATGCAGGATGGGACACGTAGGCAGTGCCTATAGGCCCTGCCTATCAGTGGTGGGAACAGATAAAAGTATCAGTAAGGTGTACGCAATTGTCTAACCTTGACTCTGTCTAGGATGCTGATATCTTAATTCAACACCCCTCCAGTGTCAACCACATGACCTGGCCCACTGGCCCCTCTTTTTTTAATCTCACACGCTTGCTTCTTTTGTCTCACCCATGACATTTAATCCCGACCCAGCCCTGTTTCAGCTTCCCCTTTCCTGTCTCAGCCTCACATCCCAGAAACCTTACATTCTGTATAACCAGGACAGGGCAGGGCTGTGCTCCTCGATGGCGTGCAACCTGCTTGTCACTGAGGCACACCTTTCAGGTCCAACTGCTATGCCAGTCAGTTAATTTCCAAGAGAGGGGGCGATGGTGTCATGACCATGGGCTATCTCTCCGCTGCCTAATCCTGGGACACACTGTCTGGGTACATGGCAGAAGGAGTTGCTTCTGATCCCCTTTAGGACACGAAAGCCCAATTGGTGAGTGTCCCACAGATAGACAAGAGGGGCTTTGGGAGATACAAGTGATCCCTCGGCAGTAGCTCACTTCTGCCCCCTGCACACCACCTTATTTTATCCCCACCTTGCCCTCCCCCATTCCTTTCACCTTGTCCAATTTCCTTTCCCTGTCTCTGTCCACCACCCCTCCTCAGCCCATAGTCCTTCTATCCAGGTGGCCGTTTGTTCTCCTTTATCTCTGCCTCTCCTTGCCTTACCCGCCCCCCAGGATTCTACAAACCCCAGCCTGACAAACCAAAAAAGAGATGGTTCCAATAGTCCTTTGTCCCTCTCTCAGACCTTCTCAGCTGCCCCGCTGCGCTAGGTTACATCCCAAAGTGAAAGAGGGTATTGGACACATCCGTGTCAGATCCCTCTCCTTCTGCCCAAATCATCCAAGAGACCACCTCCTCCCTGAAGCCTTCCCCACCCTCCACAGCAGGAAGATATTTATGAGAGGCAGGCGTTTTCTAAGGGTTTAAGCTTTTTTGGGGGTGGTAGAGATCACTTTTTGCACACCTCATTGTATAGGTTGGACACTTTTTATAATAAATTACAAGGCAATTCACTCAAAATAGTTCAACTACATTAAAAATAATAGAAACTTATTTTCTTACAAACTTCCATGTTAGCTCTGGTTTGGTATTACTCTCTAATGTTCTCTTGTAATAATTTCTTGATAATTTCACTATCCACATACGTCTCTGCTTATCTTTGCAGTTGAATAAACAACCTCAACTCTTAGGGGCTTAAAATCACAATGACATGATTTTGTGAGTCTGAGGATTAGGTGGGTGGTCCAAGGTGGCTTCACCCCCATGTGTGACTGTTGGTGCTGGTTGTTGATGGGGGTGCCTCAGTTCTCCTGTGACTGCTCATCCTCCAGGCGGCCAGACTGGCTTCACTGTGTGACAGTCTCAGACATAAGCAGAGGCTGCAAGGCATCATGGGCCATCATTATATTTCCTTTCTTACATAATCCTCAACTCCTCTACTGTTTTCTGAGCTTTTCATGTCCACTTGCTAAAGTCCTAGTCCTGGTTAGATCCGACTTCCCACCTATACCCATGAAGTTGAATGCGGAGAGAAAACCCCACAGTTGTACCAATTGGGATCACT